CAAAACAGTCATGCAAAGCAGAACTCCATTGGCTCTGGAGCCAGAAATGGTAAGGGCAGAAAGGCAAACGGAAGGGAATGTAGGCCTTGTTGCTAGATAGATCATTTATTAAAGTGAAATTCAGCATTTTATCTTTGTCAGACAGTACAGAGTTAAAGTCTCATACACAGTGGAAGCAGGATGTTTCCTACACCTCAGAGAAATGAGTTCTACAGTTTTTGCTATAAGTTACTAAGTTGCTTTAACAATACACAGCTATATTACACAGTTAAAAATACAAGGTGTCCAAAACATTTGGCATAAGATCAGCACAACACATGGAGGCCAGAAACAGAAGAGCGAACACAGTTTTTCTCTCCTGGTAAGCCTGCTGAAAGACTTCAAGCCATTTTGCAAGTTACCCGCTATTCACCTCCCTTGCACTCTAGCTGTGGAGTAAACCCAGCCCCGTTTGGGCTCAGCAAAGGGGCTCCTGGAGCCTCCTGATGCACAGGGTGGCTGCAGAGTCGCTTGCAAGGGAAGTTCAGGTTTAAGGCAGGAGCCTCCCCCTTTCCCCACACTTTCCTAAACCATTAAATTCATTCCAAACAGATGTGTTCACCAGCAAGTCCAACCCGCGAGACCAGGGATAGCTGTGAAAAGTGCAAGGAGTATCTTACATCCTAAACAGTTCATACGCACTTTGAAAGTGGAACATGAGAACTCCCTGACTTGATAAGCTAGAGATGGTTAAAGGGCAGCAGTGACAAGAAGAGTGAGGCATCAATAACATTCCTTCACCTTTAGGGCTCTTCAGTCAATACTCGAGGCAGTACAAGGACTCCTTCTGTACAGGAGGCCCCCTTGTATTACCCACTCGTTTAAACTGTAGAGGCAAAGTGACTCTAGTGCTCTAGGGAAGTGTATGATCTGCAAATTTAAATAAACAGTCCCCCAGCAGACCATTTCTCTCCCCTCCAACTGCAGTTACTGCTGAAGCTCTCCCATTGGTATTTACATTTGGCTCAACCAAAAGATGTAAAGTGCGCAGCTCCCCCCTTCTTCCCCTCTCATAAAACATCCATTACAAGAGCTAACACTGAACAAACCCTCCTCCACGTTGCTAACTGTTGTTCAGTCTCTCTGTGGGCCATGTCCTGTTTCATCTCTGTGCCATCATGGCCCCCTTGAAAATACACACTCACTGTGGGTTATTTTGGCTCTTGTTTTCAAAGCCTCTCTGAATCCAGCTTGCACTTAAAACTGACTTGAAATGCCAGACTTGCTGCGTTGTGGTCAAGTCTTGCACACCAGGGCATCTAGTGGTTTACAGCCACATTACTAAGGAAAACCGGGACACCAGAGTAGTGGGGACAAGTGGTGCAAACCTGCCCTCTCTACTTTTCTCAGGCTTGAGCATCTAAAGTGCCTGGCAAAAGAAACATTAACTTTTAACGCCATTGCTTACTTCATGTTGTTACACAATATTTGTTGAGATGCAGACATTCAGAAACAGCCTCCTCAGACATATTTGCACTTTTTAGCCATCAGACTGCCACCGCCTCGAGCCTTCGCATGCTTCCAACTCCCTTGAGTTGAGCTCAAGCCGGTAACTACCAGCAACGATTTCTTCTTCTTCTTCCCTTAAAGTGAGCAGAGGGTCAGCGTACAGGATGAAGTTAAGCCCAGAAGAGATGTTTCTGCATTATTTGGATCTCATACTAATGGCTTTGGATCTTTTCAGAAGTCTAATGAAGTTAATGCAACTCTTCAATCAGTAATTGAATTAGGCAATATAATAGAATTAGGCTCAGTAACGGCTGGAGAGCTTCAAAGACGACTCCTCTGCCCCAGGGTGAATGTCACCTATGCAGGCTTGTAAGAAATAAGCTTCCACTATTATAACTGGAAGATGACATCTGGCCATCCTCCATGCCCCCAAGGCTTGTGCTCCATGGTTCAAAGCTAGACAGAATTTAAGGCCCATCTGTGAAAAGCAAAAATGTAAAAGGAAAAAAACCAAACTCATCGTATCAGCCAAAGCGATTCGGGTCTTCCACCTTTCCAACAAGTCACATCCAAAAGTGCTGAGCAAACGTCCCACCTCATGGCTTCACAAGTGTGAGGTTCAAACACATTTACTTGGAAGTTTTAACCAAAAAAAAAAAAAAAAAATAGTTGGAAAGTCTTTTGTTGTTTAATTGGCATGCAGCATAAGGAATCGAATACACAGAATGGTTTCATACAGAACGACAATTGCATTGTTACGTTTTCTGGTTATTAGACACTAAATGCTTTTCAAGAATCACAGGCACCCTGAACATGGATATTGCTACTGAATTGATGTGTGATTTCAGTTTATAGCATGGGAGCCATAAAGTGGCTTAACCCTTCCAACAAGACATCGGCTTCCTTTTGCTCAAGGCGTTCAGCTCAGTTGAGAACAAGGTAATAAGGCATTTGCAAGGGTTTATAAGGCTGTGGGGTCCGACAGCCAAAGATTCTTCTGTTTCTTTGGTGTCTTGCCTCCAAGCTTCCCACCTTATAAACAACTGCTAATGGCTGGTAAACATCTCTTCATCATCACACTTCACTAAGGATTTCATTTTTCTTCCCAAAAAAAGGTATAATTGCTTTAAGAGTGACCCAACAGGATCACATTTCACATCAATTGACTATTTTAAGGAAAATAAAAAAAAGAGTTTCCTGGAGACCACCTCTGCACAAAAGCATTCCAGTGAATACACCTGAACAGATGGAACCTGCCACCATATTTCCTTGAAAAGAATCATTTTGCTGCTGGCTGCTAAAACACCCCAACAGATTTATTTACTCTTAGAAAGAAAACAAAACAAAATACAACAACAAAACCAAAAAAAGTAAAGCCCAAACTCCATTTTTTACAGTTTTGGTCTAGAAGTTACAACGAGGCGTAACCCTCTCAACTCAGAGACTCATTTTCCCTTGGTGATATCCTCTGATTGCACGAGCACTTTGAGGATTACCATGCAGTCAGAGAACCCTTTTCGCTCTCTGTCCTGAATGAGAGAAGCCGGATCATGGTGACTGATGTGGGAATTACTCCACCCTTTCAATAAGGAAAGGACCAGTAATTAGGAACTTCTTAAACATTCATGAAATACTGACACAAGACATTCTCTCCTCATTCCTTGAACCTCTCTCTTGTCTGATGTTCTTCATATCCATACTGGACCAAACAAGGAAATGCTGAAACAATCACAGTCCCCAAAACTTCACAAATGGGACGTGTACCATAACAGAGTATTTCTGGCTATGACACAGGACTGAGACATGTCAAAGTCTGTTGAACATGTTTTTGGAGTATTAGCAAACGCTGCAGAGCTGATGTGAACAGCTTGCTCTAAATTATGACTTGAATTTTAAAGAGACCCTGGGAAAGCTTCAACAAGAGCTTCACCATATGAACCCTTCATACCTTCCAAAGCAGCACTGAGCTGGAATCATGACGTGTATTTAGCTCTTCAACAAAGCTTCATCCAGTTTTGGAATAGTAAAACCTGCCATTGAGAAAATGTTAGCCAAAGTTCTCTACTGTTCAGTTCGTTGCTTAAGGCTTATTGAGAATATACTCTCTATGTGGAGTCTTGGCATCTTGTAACAGAATGGAGACATCAAAACAGCAAAAAAAGAGTGGTGCTTTAAATCATGACATCCCCTTGACGAGATTTGAGGTCACTGGAGAACAGTCAGTCACAACCAACACTTTTACAAGCTCCTTTTGCCAAAATAACACTGCATTATTTGTAAGGACACCTTGGCTTCAAATAACAAAATCAGAGCAATCTCCTCCTACAGCGCCCAGGTACAGAGCACCAGCATCCTCCACTCACACAGCTCCTAGGAAAGCACATGTGATGCTCACACAAGGCAAGTGCTTTGGTACTTCTTGCCCATTGCAAAGACAGATGAAATGCATCGTGCTCCACTCTGTTCACTCCCCCAGTTATGGTGCTACACCCATCAGCATAAGTCTGCTTTTACCAAACAGAGACTGCTGAGCCCACTGATCCACACAGCGGTTCTGTGACACCTGCTGAAGAGTAGCTTCAGTACAGAATTCACATCACTTGTGACTGATACCTGATCTGACACAGAGATTGAGAGACATATGTCTCTGTTTCACCTACCATCACCGAGCCTTGAATACAAGGGAAATATGTGTAAGTATTAAAGTAAGAATTAAATGAACTTTTCTACCAACAGGATCAGACCCATCAGATAAGCTGTATTTGTCTTAATACCACATTCTGAGGAAATGCAGAAGTTTTTAAAGGCTTACAGACAATTAATTAGTGAGCTCTGAAATAAAAGAAACTGGAAAAAGAGATTGCAGACAGTTGTTTGGCATCCATGTCAGAAGGGGGAGGGAGGAAGAGTGGTTAAAGAAAAATAAATCGATTTCAGACTAGTCACGTAGAGTTCACGGGAGCAGATTTGGTGAGCTGGAGCATCTGTAGAAATTTGGGACTTGAAGCACTGACTCAAGGCAGCACAGAGCTTGTGTAGGTGGGGAGCAAGCTTCAGGCAAACTTCTGGCCCATGCACCTCGATCATGGATTTAATCTGTCGCTGTTCCAGTCCTCGGCCAAGACAAACTGCAATGGTGGCTTGTGATGCAGTCTGGATTCAGTGGGAAAATTCCATCTGTGATCTGAATTGCACTGAGATGCTGATTTCCAGAAATGGTTTAAAACACTGAGTTGACAAACTCCACAGTCCTATGGGTTTACTTGGTTTCTGCATTATCCTCATTTCTCTATTCCAATGTGACTTTGAAATGAGGGGAAGAAGTCTTCAGAAACATGCTGGGCACATGTTTTCAGATACTCCTGATAACAATATCCATCTCTTTTTCTGTCATCCAGACTTACTGCATTTAAAAAACAATTTACAATATACTTCAACAGTTTCTGTATACCTACAATGCACAATACTATCTGTTCCTTCAAGGTCTCTCTTATCCCAAGTCTTGTTAATCTTCATTCTAGTTGCTTGCTACCTTCTGATTTCTGGTCCAGCCTGCTCTTGTTGTTCTTCACCATATAGATGAAATATGCAAGCGTCTCTTTCTCATTCACAGGAATATTCCTGAAGTGACGACTGACAGTCTAGAAGGACAACATGGAAAGAAGACAGAAATTCCAAAATTAAGAAGTAGAAATAATCAGAAAAGGATTTCTCTTCACTTCCCAAAAAACGACTGTATGGCCACTGAGTGTAATATACTTTTAGTCAAACATGCACCAATTCAAACTGTCAGTCCTTGTTTACCTCTCTCTCGCTTTACAGCTGGAATGTGCCTATGAACACAGCAGAGTTTTGCTATGTCAGCAGTATTTGTAGCCAACCTACAAGTCGAATTTGGAAGCCAGAACGTCCTCCTGCCAAAGCAGCATGGCCTCTCCTAAGTGACATTTCGTGCTGAGAATATCTGGAGAGCAAGTTCTCCCTGCAGCTCAGTATTCTGAAGGAGAGTGTCAGAAATACTCCAACACTTTGCTGTGTGAACCAGATGTAGCAAAGTTTTAGAGTCCAAAGGAAAATGCACTGGATAAGTTTTCACTGAGAGGAACACCAGGGGATTTTTGCAATGGGAGGGTTAGGATTTGGTTAGGGCTACCCCTCTCTGACACTGGCATAAACCCTGAACCATTAGCTGCTTTTTTCCTCAGAAAATGAATGTAGAAAACATGGAGCTGGATAAGATCTGCTTCTCCTATGGAAGAAGCTCTTTTTTGGTACCCAACACAGCTCCAGAACTGGATTTTGATGCAGGCTGAGCAACAAGTCACTCCAAGAAGATTTATGGAAGTTTGAGTTTTCCTTACGGTGGGGTAGCAGCAGGAGTCTAAGAGCCTCAGGCAGCAGTGATTCAAGCATGGGAGCTGGACGAGGATCCAGCGTAGGGTCAAAGCTGCTCAGACTTCACAGGAAATCTGGGAAGTGTGTGACAACTTTAAGTTAGGCTCCCTTTATTTTCTGCTTGCACAGTAGTTTTATTTCTTTAACTCCTGGGCACATTCATGGTAAATTGCCTAAGTAAGTAGTCCTTCATGGCAGGAGGTAGCTGAGAGACAATGAACTGGTTAGGCAGAACATGACAAATCGGAACTACTACTGAGGACATACACCCACCCTGCTTCACTTAACTTACTCCTACATGCACTACACTACACGTTCTCTATATTCTGTATATTCATGCCCTAGCTGACTTTGAAAGAGAGCAAGACGGCATCTTGCTGTCTCTTTTTGTCTGCTGGTTTTTGTCTTTAAAGCAAAACAGTTTTGGGCAGTTGTGACAGCCTCAGCTTACAAAATCAACCTTGTTAGCACTCAGCAACTGCTACAGATTTTTCAGTTTTACAGTTTAGAGAAGACTTTTCCCACTGAATG